ATCGTATCCACCACGGAGTCAGAGATCCGACTCCGGGTCTCCGTCCAGCTGATTGAATCTCCTCCGCGCGCGCCAAGTTCCAAACGCCATACCCGCATACTTACTGCTACCGCCTGCGTGGATCGGACTCGGGACACTGGCACGGATGTCGCCGTCGCCAAGGCTCAAGCCTCAGGGAAATACATATGCGTTTGCTGTTGGTGGGTGGTAATACAATGGTGTGCCAGTGTAGTGTGCGGGTCGTGTCGCGTAGCTATATCCTAGGTAGCATGTAGACGTAAAGCATAGCGCGAGGAGAGAGGGAAGAGGGAGGGAAAAGGTCAGGAAATGAGGAATATTCATGCTTGAGAAGAGGAAAGAAAGCCAAGCAAGCAAGCAAAGCAAAAAATGGAAATGAATGCCGAATCCAATCCGTCCGCAGCTTGTCACAGCGGGCTCAGTCGCTCTCGCTCGTTCTCCTCCTGCTGCTGCCCATCTGTCTGCCTCCTCCTGCCCGCCCGCCTCCCCTCCCCAGCCGCCGCCGCGCGCTCCTGCACTGCCAGTCTCAGTCCTGCGATACCGTGGTTGTACCCCGCGGCGGCTACGACCCCCAGGCCAACGACTCGCTCATCCTATTGAGCACGAGCGTCGTCATGATCTCGGTGACGAGCGGGAGGCCCGCCTGCCGTATCGTCACGCGCGCGTCGTGCTCGTCCGTCGGCAGGGACAGCTCCCATGTTGCGTAGGTGTTGCGGCCGTCGGTGAGCTGCATGCAAGGGGAAGGAGGGTCAGTAAGGGTCTGCTTCTTGGATGAATGACGGGCAAGGGCAGGGAAGCAGAGGAATGAGGAATGGCAAGGGAAGAGGAATGAGTGAGGAGGGAGGGTGCGCTCCCACTGCCCCATCCAGCCAGTCATACGTAGTCTAACGTTAGACTGGCTGCAAGCGAGTCCCTCGCCTTCCGTGCAGCCGATCGTGCGCACGTCCCTGGGTGTCGTCTCATCACCTCACGCATCGCAACTTCCGATGAGCATGAGGGCCCCAGAAGTAAGTGCATGGAACGCCCGTGTTCACTCCACTGACATGTCCACGCAAACGAAGTTTGCCGCCGCGCAACGAGAAGTGAGAACGGCAAGGGTTTCCATGCGCAGCCTGAGCCAACTCCACGGATGTGGGTCTCCGTGGACTTTGGAGTGTGAAAATGAACGTGAAAAATGAAAAATGAAATGGGAGATGGGGGGTAGAGAACAAACAAAGGACACACGGGTGCAAAAGATGCAAAATGAGCCGCGGCCCCACAAAAAAATGCGAGACCTAGACCGGTTCCGCCGCCAGACAGGCCGTTCGTCGAAGACTCGAAGCTCGTTGGTGGAACTTCGAGATCGAGAAGACGAACGCTGATCCCGGCAGACAGGGCAAGGCACGCACGTTACGCATTACGACGGATGCGATCGCCGCGGGGCGAGAGCCCACACGGCGGCGGCGGCTCGGGGCCGTAACGATGACGGAAGGGAAGGGAAGGAAAGAAAGAAAGAAAGAAAGAAGGATGTACCTCCATGCGCTGCTGGGCTATCCGCCACTTGAATTCTTTGCCGCTTTGCGCCATAAAATATCGTGATCTAAATAGGGGGGAGGGATTGAATATTTTGTGGGAGGGCCGCAAGAAAAGAAAGAGAAAAAACGCACGGGCTCCCCTCGGTCTTCTGTCTCCGCATATATGCCATCGGTATCGAATTTCGATTATTCCCATACATGAGGTATCCAGGCGAGGGTGTAGGGGTGCCGGCGCCGTAGACACTCACGCCGGTTCCAGGGACAGAGGGACCAAAGTAAAAGTACGCGGCGTCGGGGCCCATGGTGCCGGGGTGGTGCTGTGTCCACGCGGCTTCGCGTCCGAGTTTGACGACGAGGTTGGGGTTGTGGGAGACCTGCGGGTGAGGTTTGAGGTGATGAGCAGTGGGACAGAGGTGGGCGTACGGGCGACCTGGAGAGCGATGATGAGCGACGATGAGTCGGGAGAGTGCATTTCAAGAACGTACACGGTAAAAGCAGATCGTCCTTCGAGGTCGAAAAACCTTGCATTGAAAGCGTCTGAGCCGTATTGGAGCAGGACGTAGGTCGTGGAGGACATGGAGAGAGAGAGAGAGAGAGAGGACCCGGTGTATGGGTGGATGGATGGGTGTAATATCTGAGCTGAATCCGGCAAGAAGCTTTCCCACGTGGCATCCGCCCACGCGAGGGGTAACGTCTTCCCACACTGCCACGTGGCAGATCTTTCCAGATCTCTCGTTTTTTTTTCAGCTTCTCCTCCCGTTCGTAACCTCACGGAAATGCCTGCCAACGCTCCCGAATCGTTCCGTCCCTGCCAGTGTCTCTGCGCCCACTCTCCTCTAGCTCCACTGGGCTCAAAGTTATCAGTGATAACGAAGGATTGATACTGTCCGATCGCTTGATTATGATGTTGCCCCTTGTATTGACCCCTCAACCAATCTCCGACGCGCAGATTCCCACTCCGACGAACTCGGCCTAACCGCGAACAAATCAAGAAGAAGGGGCCACCAAAACACCACCACCGCAGCAGCAAGCAACCAGTGCCGCAGCGCGACCACTCGGATGGCTGTCCAGAGCAGACCTGACCAATGGAGAGTGGGCGCTCAACTGGCCTCAGTGGTCAGCTGATGATATGGGTGCGATCTAGGCCTTGATCCTGTTCGGCTTTGCTATACTCAACTCACAGACTCTTCTATTCCAGACCGAGGCAGGCAACACGGAAAACGATATCGATTATCTGCTCGGATCTCCCAGTATTTCACCTGTCCTTCCCGCAAAGACGCTAACGCCGTAGATTACATACGTACCTACACACGCCCCATCGCAACACCCCCAATCGCAAGCGCAAGCGCGCCACCGTGACCGCCACTGATACAGATACACCCAAGTAGACGATTGCATTGCGGGATTGCGGGTCGTTGGTGCTTCATCGACATCTACCGCTGATGGATCCGCTCGCGTGGCTTTATAATTAACTTGGGTGTTCACACCTGTTCGACAAACTGCTCCGCCTTGCGTTGAGATAGACGCGCAAGAAGGGAGAAGGAGAGACCTTGATAACGATCTGGTGGCGGCTTAGGCGCCGCGATCGCGCAGAGCAGTGCGGATCTTTCATTCATTTGGAGAAGAGGAGGCCAAAACACAAATTTAAAAAAGCGGCGGTTCTCCCTCCGCGCCTCCGCCTCGAGGCCTCGCACACGCACACGCACACCATCCCATCTGTCTCCGCGAAACAACCACCATCCTGACTGTTCAAAACGTTTTCTACAGCTATCGCCCGGCATCTTGAGAACCCTCCGGAATACGATATCGCTGCGACCTCCTTTCTTCATCAAACCTGCTAGAAAATATGTCACATCCCCTAAACATCCTACGTCCTCTCCCGAGCCGAATGCGGATCAAGCTTCAAAAATCTTCCCCCCCGACGTTACTTGCCAATGGCAACGAGCAAATCGGCAAATCGACGGCCCATGATCCGTCCCTTCGGCGTCCGGACGGCTTAATTAATTTAATTTCTCGCTTCGCTTATCCGTTTGCTGCGTAGGCCCGGGTTTCGGCTCCGTCGGGGAACGCCATCCGTCCCACGTGGGTTTTAATGGCCGAAGACGAGTGTGTTATTTCTTTCCCTGTCTCCCTGATCCGAGCGCCTTAGGGTTGGGTGGTTCCAAGATCGGCGGGGAATCGATTAACTTCGCGTGTCTCGAGCTCGTTACACGCCTGAGGAAGGCCCCGCGCGTCCAATCCTCGTCTACCCGAACCGTCGGCATGCCCACCACATGTTTTGCTCTCGGGTCTTTTCGCAATTCGTTCGAAGCGGTCGTTTCACGGCCTGGGAAACGGTGACAACAACGACAACAGGCTGAGGCTGTCGCCTATGCGGAGACGCAGACGACTCCGAGACTTCCGCTCATGCTTTCATGCGATCCCCACGCGCGATGTCTGTACGGCGCTGGGAAAATAAAGTGGTGGGACGTCGGTACGGATACGACGTTGACGCGCGCGCGAAGCAATTCCAACTGCTGATCTTCATTCGAGATTTTATGTGATTTCCTACGGCAACGCTTTCGTCTACACACTGTTGCCAAGACATGCAAGTTTTTCCGAGGTCGATCCCGAAGGAATGGTGGATGGCATCTCTGATTTCTCGTCAGACCTCGAGGAGGTCTGAAGTTGAATTACTTTGTAATCGAAATACTGGGGCATTTCGGGCTTGACACTAGAGGTAGAGCATAATTCGCTGTCGATCCCGCGTGGGCTATGCCTTGAATAACCTAATATAATGGGATAAGTATTCCGACAACTGATGGCGGGGTATCAAAAACTCTTCGGCTGCTTACCATGTAAGATGTGGGATGCCAGTATGTAGCCTACACATGCCAGTGCCTGCCAAGCCGCCTGCGAAGCACTTGTTTCCACTTTTGGACGTCGCGGATCGCATTCAACTCACGGAGTCGCGGACAATGCCAGTCGCTGCCAGTGGCACTCTTGCCGGAGACGATCACCAGCTTTGGATCGCATCCAACACAGAATTTTCAGTGCCGTCCCTCCTAAAGCAAACTCGGACTCGGGCAGCACTGTCATGTCTGGGCTCGTCTTGTCCTCGAGGTCCTCACACAGTCCGTGAGGTATGTATGTAACGACTTGTTTAAATTAACGCGTACGGAACATTGCGAACCGGCGCAGCATACTTACCTTCAATCGCCCTCAGGCTCTGGGATCAACGCATCCCTGAGTGCATCGTGTGTCAGGGCTTGTCTAGAATTCGACGTCTCCACTAGTACTGGTGGGCGGGATGACAGGGGATGACCAGATGGACGTCCCGGAGCGCCGAAGGCGAAGCAACTGAATGCAGCTCAGCATGTCTTCTACTTAGACCTTGAACGCCTGGGCGGCCAATTCTGGAGGGGTATCACAGAGCTCCAGGATGGAGTGAAAAGACCGGTTGGCCAAAAAGGCTAAGCAGGGCAAAAGTGGACAACAGCGGAATTGAACCGCTCACCTCTCGCAAGACCTTCCAATGAAAAGTGCTAAGCGAGCGTGATAACCAACTACACCAGATGCCCTTAGAAAGAGTGTAATTTGAGGTGAGTTGAGAGCACAGACAGTGAGATCTACAATGGGTTCTGTTCCATTGCAAAAGTTGATGCATTTTCTCGCATGGGCAGCGTACAGCTAATCTTTACACTGCTCCCGCTCACTGGAAATACCACTGTGTATGGAACACAATTTACTGTCGCGGTTCAACACTGTACGGTAGTATTCAGATCGGATGCTTACAATTTTGGGACCTTTCAGTCACCGAGATCACCAATACATTTGCTTAGGCTATTTTTCTCAGGCATCTCAGACCAGTCCGCGTCACCAGAACATCCAGTCTGAATGAATACAGCACTACATATATGCATCAGCTTAAAGCAAGCTTACATGAAGTATCTCGTCTTCATGTTCGCGTTGGCTGGAGCCAGTTGAGCTTGAGGAGGGGAAATCAGCGCTCGCGATTATGTGACGCCAGATGAAGAAGTCCCATCGAAATGGGTTGCGAGAGCGCAACGCCTGTAAATGACCTCGAGGTGAGGGACGACGACACCGCGCAATAAAGATCGTTCGATAGTCTGAGATTGAATTTGACCATGAAAGCACAAAACTGCGATAGCGAAAGATAGTCAGATGATGCAGAAAAGTGGCCTGCACACAGACACCCCGCGCGCTGATAGCCACCGCCCGACTCAAATGGCGACGTCCCATGTTGACCCACAGCACATACTGGCATGTACAACTGCCAGAAAGCTACTTAAGTAGGTTCGAGTTCCAGAGCGCGCGGGACAGGATGGTCTCCGGCAGGATGGTCTGCCTAACTTGCCCGAACACCATGCGGATGGTCTCCGTGTCCGTCGCCTGGATAAGACTACAGCTGGGGGGTCAGCCGCAGCGTGGACTACGAGAAAGTAGTGCATACAAGGGATACACGCTCTGCCGGACGCAATTCTGCCGTACCAAGCACCACAGGATATACTTGGCAGCGTTTCCGCCCGCGAATTCGGGAAAGTACCGCTCAAGGGGTATCTGGCGGCGTAGGATGAGTGGAAGGAAGGAAAGAGCAGAGGGTCGGATGATAGGAAGGGCGGTCCTGCGTACCGTGGGCAGCTTCTTCTGAAAGACATCGACCTTGTTCAGGAAGAGTATGATGCTCGTCCGGATGAACCAGCGCGAGTTTATGACATTCTCAAAGAGGACGAGGGATTCGCGCAGTCGGTTCTGTGGTGACGTGTGAACAGAAGCGCGTGAGAGGGACACGCGCAGGCACCTGGGTCGTCTCTTCCCCTTCTGCGTCCGTTTCCAGAAACACTTGGTCGTAATCGCTCAAAGACGTACAGAATATGATGCTTGGTACACTAAGAAGAGCGCAGTCAGTCCGCTGAACGGTCAAACACAAAAACAAACACACCTCTCAAAACAATGAAGCCATTTCCGTGGTGCCGTCCTGTCCCCACCGACGTCGAACATGTGTATCGACAGATTGCCTGCGTTGAACCGCATCTCGGTAATGCTGGTGCTCTGCGTTCGAGCACGGAGGACGTCTTCGATGGTGGGTGAGTACCCCGGCTTGGCCAGACGCTGGATGTGTGTTATGAAACTGCGAGGCGGACGGCGAGTTAGCTTTGCCCAGGAGGAAAGATGGAAAGTAGGGCGTACTATGGCGCGCTATCCATCAGGTGAAACTCACTCCCATGCTCGTCCAACAGCTGCGACACGACCGGGTCCTGCCATAGTCCTTCAATCGCGTCCGCAGTCTCTCCAGTTAACGCCTGCGCAGAGTTTATGACCTCGGGCAAATGTCGATGCTCTTCCGCTAGCAGGTCCTCCAGACCAGACTCCCGTAGGGCCCCCACGACGGCCTGCGCAGAGTCCACCGCGTTCTGGTGGATCGTCGGCCGGAGCGCCAGCAGCTCGTCCCTGCTAAAGCCTCCTTGATAGATAATCTTCATCTGCGGCATCTCAGTTAACAGTTCGCGGGATATACAGAGAGAGTCAACCACGCACCTGCCTCATGATTGTAGTCTTTCCCGACTCGGAAGAACCCAGAACGAGGACCTTGCAGTCTCTCCGATACCGTTGCGAGTCCTCCTTGAGCTGCCAGTCGATTACGTGGCTGCGGGCTTTGGATGCACGGTCTTGCTGCGACGCGCAGACTCCCATGGGAGTGGGGCACAGGCTGTATTCAGGTGGACGCGGTGTTGCGAAGGGTGACGAATGACGCGTGACTCGGTTTTCTCCGTGTCTCCCATAGGCGGGTCTGATTGCGTAGGTGATGAACTGATGCGCCGCGAGCCAATTAAATTGTACAAAACACCCAAGGCCGAGAAGAATACATGGTGGTAAGAAGGAAAAGCAATTCTTATTGTAAAATCTTGAAACTGCTAGTCAATCACCCAGGGGCTTTTTCGTTTCCAGGTATCGCGATGAAGGCTCGATAAACCGCATCAACCTTAAGGTGGCTAAGTGCACCCTCACAGTACCAGCCGCACGACGATATTCGAATAGATCGAGTATTAATAGGACTACGAAAGCAGAACTGCGATAACAATAGCTTAGGCCCTAGAGCGGAAAAGAGACCCAGTTTGCCTGCACACACGCGGGGGTCGATACCCTCCATATCAGGCCCGTCATTCCAGGACCATGTCTACCGACGTCAGGCCCGGGGAGAGGTACGCCCTCGTACTCGCAGGTACGACCAGAAAACGACTAAAGTATGTTGGAGTTCCTGAGCGCGCCGGGCAAGATGGTCTCCCTAACTTGCCCGAACACTGTGCGGATGTTGTCCGTGTCCGTCGCCTGGGTGAGACTGGGACATCAGCAGCAGCGTGGACGAAGAGAGAGAAGTGCATACTAGGGATACACGCTTTGCCGGACGCAATTCTGCCGTATCAAGCACCACAGGATGTACTTGGCAGCTGCAGCGTTTCCGAGTCCGCCTGGAACGAATTCGGGAAAGTGGCGCTCGAGGGGGATCTGCCGGCGGAGGATGAGTGGAAGGAAGGAAGGAAAGAGCGGAGGGTCGGATGATAGGAAGGGCGACCTTGGTCAGCTTCTTCTGAAAGACATCGACCTTGTTCAGGAAGAGTATGATGCTCGTCCGGATGAACCAACGCGAGTTGATGATATTCTCAAAGAGGACGAGGGATTCGCGCAGTCGGTTCTGTGGTTACGTGTGAACAGAAGCGCGTGAGAGGGACACGCGCACGCACCTGGGTCGTCGTCTCCTCCCCGTCTGCGTCCGTTCCCGGCAACACTTGGTCGTAATCGCTCAGCGCCGCGCAGAATATGATGCTGGCAACACTAAGAGAAGAGCGCAGTCAGCCCGCTGCACCGTGAAACACAAAAACAAACACAAACACACCTCTCAAAACAATGAAGCCATTTCCGTGGTGCCGTCCTGTGCCCACCGACGTCGAATATGTGTATCGACAGATTGCCTGCGTTGAACCGCATCTCGGTCATGCTGGTGCTCTGTGTTCGAGCGCGGAGGACGTCTTCGACGGTGGGTGAGTACCCCGGCTTGGCCAGACGCTGGATGTGGGTTATGAAACTGCGAGGCGATAGCGGGTTAGCTCTGCACAAAAGGAAAGACGGAGTAGGGCGTACTATGGCGCGCTATCCATCAGGTGAAACTCACTCCCATGCTCGTCCAACAGCCTTGACACGACCGGGTCTTGCCATAGCATCTCAATCGCGTCCGCAGTCTCTCCAGTTAACGCCCGCGCAGAGTCTATGACCTCGGGCAAATGTCGATGCTCATCCACTAGCACTTCCTCCAGACCAAACTCCCGCAGGGCACCCACGACGGCCTGCGCAGAGTCCACCGCGTTCTTGTGGATCGTCGGCCGGAACGCCAGCAGCTCGTCTTTGCTGAAGCCCCCATGGGAGATAATCCTCATCTGCGGCATGATGCATCTCAGTTAGCAGTTCGCGGGATATATAAGAAAAAGAAGAGAAAACGCACCTGCCTCATTATTGTAGACTTTCCTGACTCGGCAGAACCCAGAACGAGGACCTTGCAGTCTCTCTGACACCGTTTCGAGTCCTCCTTGAGCTGCCAGTCGATTACGTGGCTGCGGGTTTTGGATACACGGTCCTGCTGCGACGCGCAGACTCCCATGGGAGCGGGGCGCAGGCTGTATACAGGTGGACGCGGTGTTGTGAAGAGTGACGAATGATGTGTGACTCGGCTTTCTCCGACGAATCAATTCGGCGGGTCTGATGCGTAGGTGCTGAACTGATGCGCTGCAATTAAATTGTACACGAAAGCACCAAAGCCGGGAAGAAGACATGGTGATGAGAAGGGCAAAGCAACGACCAGCTTCGAAGAACAAGACTTACACAACAAGAAAGACAAAACGAAAGGTAGACAGGAATGCTACGAAGAATTGAAGGAAACATACAAGTCAGTCCGAGAAAAAAAGGATGAATGAAACAAAAATATACGAATGCAACGAGGTTCAAGGCATGAAAGAAGGAAAGCAAACGCAAAGCAAGTAACCGCCCATCAATGAATAAAAGCACGTCTCTCCGTCTTTCCCCTCCAAATCCCCAACGCTGTTCTCGAAGGCACATCTACCGCTGCCCATTCGATGTCCCGGTTCTGTAACGAGTACAGTGCGCCAGCCGACCCGCGCATTGACTTGGGAAGGGCGAAGACGCGATGCAAGAATCGGCGTGCTGCATTCGTGAAACGAAGATGACGACGGCCGACGGTATTGGCGGTGGTGTGAGCGCGCAACGCAGACGGCGCAAGCAGGGGGCTGGTGAAAGCGACCGTCCGAATACGAGTAGCCACGATGGAAGGTGTCGTTAAAGGAGTGTAGAAGACGTCGGTCGCACTGGACGTAGACGAATGCCAGGGTACATCGGGGTGAGATGCAGGTGCGTAAGGGTTGAACTCCACTGGCATTGAATGTACCGGTTCCGGGGCGGGGGCTGCACGACGTCCGATGAATGGTGAAATGAAACGATGCTGCTCCTGCGATTGTTGGTCTGTGAAGAGAATCATGATGCCGAGACCGCA